TTTGCTCATCATTGAAGTCTCAGCTCTAAGACTGTTTTTCAACAAGCCAGCCTTAAAATCACCCAAGAGTGATTGTCTGTCATGTGGCTGTCTCATGAACTCTAATTTGTATCAAGGTTTATGGATTTTACAGCTCCAAATTGTCCGTTATTTTAATTGCAACATTTAATTGCCAGTTTACTTGTCCATCTTTCCCACTAGATTGTAAACTCTTAGATGCAGGGACTGTGTCTTACTCATCTCATTCTTTGCACTTAAAATTAGACAATTGAAAAATGCTTGTTAAGTGAATAATCAGTGTTTACCTGTGTGCCTGTTAGATTTACCTGAGTTACCAGATTCTTAGATTATGTTAGTGTGAGTAAAATATTATATCAATAGATTGGAGTAGGTAATTTCCTTAACACTGCAACACATAGTGGAATATCTGTGTTTGATTCCACTTTAAAAATTTTCTCAAACCCCATCACCATAAGCGAATGGTCTTTGACATCATCAATGAATAGATGGTGGAAGGGCTGCTCGAGATTCGGAAATGTTGAAAGGACGTTGCTCTTCACTGAGGGGCATGTTGTCAGTTTCCCTCTTTGGGCAGCTCCAGTATTTCTAGTAGTAAGTGGTACAGATGGAGGGGGAAATCTACGTGACAGGCTGCCTAGGCTCTGCCAATGTCAGGTCCCTTTAGGGTGCAGGAGGGGAGAGTTGCCTTTTTATCATCCATGGTTTCTTTCATGTAATGCTTCTGAATTGTGAAAAGGTGAGGCAACAATGACATGCAAATGCATGAGTTATTATCAACAGCAACTTGAACAGTGTGATGGAGCACGCATCAGATCTTTGGTACCCTACGAGATTTTAATTTTCTCCTTTTGATGCAATTCTTGACCTGAAATATAAACCCTTTTCAAATCTCTCCCAGACTTTTCTTTAAGGGGGAGTCAGCCATTGGCTGTAAACATTAGTGGGCATAAGAATTGCCTGGAAAGCATGTGAAAACAGATTACTGGGCTCCACCTGAAGCATTTCTGTTCCTTGGAGCAGGGGCCCAAGAATTTTATTTTCTAAACAAAACTCTCAGGTGCTGCTGTTTCATGGACCACTCTTTAAATAGGAAAGAGATGGACCACATGTTTCTAATTTCTGCTTACTGCCATTGCACGTGCTTTCTCTTTTCATAACGCTCATATTTGGGCCTGTTAGTGGTTGAGGAACTCAGCGGGCATATACACAATACAGCCTAGACCAAAACTTTCAGTCTACTTACTTGGTCAGTGTCTTACTGTATTCTGGGATCCCCTGACTCTTATGATAAAAAGACTGCACACTTTTGCCTGCACAGTGCAGCCTGTCTTCTCTCCTGTTTTCTCTCTCTCTTCTACATGGTCTGGTTGACCTGAAGTTTCTGGAATTTTCTGCTAATTCCTTTTATATCTACTAGCTAATGTCTTTCTCTCCATCTATATAACAGATTGCCTTTCTGATTCTCTTTCAGATCAATACTTCCCACTCATGTTATCTCCACATTGAACATCTATCTTTTGAAATATTTTATAGCCTTATAAAAATTCCATTTGTGATACTATCCTGTCTTTATTGCTTTGCTGCTTTTTTCCCTTCATATTTGTTGGGTACCACAGTATACTACCATCAGGAAATTATCAATCTGCTTGCAAGACTGCATAAAATATCTAAGCTACCGATCCTTTCTTCTGTATCCTCTTAACCAGACTCAACTGCTGTATGTAGAATCAACACCTCTTGGACTCTTTGGAGATTGATCCATCCCCTGTGACTTCCCAATGTGTTCTTTTATAATTAGTTTTCAATTGAGATAGAATATAAATTCAGCAACATTCACCTTTTATAGTGTACAATTGAATGAATTTTTTTTTTTTTTTTTGAGACAAAGTCTTGCTCTGTTGCCCAAGCTGGAGTGCAATAGCATGATCTTGGCTCACTGAAACCTCTGCCTCCTGGGTTCAAGTGATTCTCCTGTCTCAGCCTCCCAACTAGCTAGGATTACAGGCACCCGCCATTATGTCCAGCTAATTTTCGTATTTTTGTAGAGATGGGATTTCACCATATTGGTCAGGCTGGTCTTGAACTCCTGACCTCAGGTGATCCACCTGCCTTGGCTGTGGAATTTTCTGCTAATTCCTTTTATATCTACTAGCTAATATCTAGTAATCTTTGGGAGTATCTAGTAATCCCAAAGGGATTACAGGTGTGAGCCACCACGCCTGGCCCAGTGAATTTTTAACAAATGCATACAGTCATGTAATCCTCACCACAATTGAGATATAGAACAGTCCCATCACCCTGAATTTCTTCACCCCCCATTGTAGCACTCTCGCCTCTACTCCTGGCCCTTGGCAACTGACAATCAGTTTTCTGTCCTTACAGTTTTGCATTTTCCAGAAAGTGGAATTACACAGTATGTGTGAGTCTGGCCTCTCTTACTTAGCATAATGCATTTGTGATTCATACGTGTTGTTGCTTGTATCCATGGTTCATTCCTTTTTATTGCTGCAGCTGCATGGTATTCCATTGTGTGGATCTACCACAGTTTTTTATCCATTTCCAGTGTTTTTTAATTGCTATGTCCTCTCCTCTAAACTGAAGTGTTTTTTTTTTCTCTCTTTGTCATTTGGCTTCTTGAGTACTGAAAAGTAAATTTCCAAATTTACCATGTGTTCTAGGTAGAAATAAAAACTAAGTTGCAATAGGTACTAACAAGCTCTGAATTTCTGCACCTGATACATTCCTGATGTTTCTTTACTTAGGCCTATTTTAGCCAACTCTCAAGCAGAAGCTGAGATGTGGGGGCGTATCTATCCCAAAGAAGCCTGTTCTAATTCATCCTTTTGGATCAAGAGTTTTCCAACTTGCAATTTGAAGGACTGACTTGAGATCTGTTATTTAGGGTCATTGCTGCAATTCCCAGGAGAGATGTAAGAAGGCCTTCCCTTTCCCTCAAGGGGTCCCATATCATAAATACATATCCCTGATAATTTGGAACCAGCTTGCCTCTTGTGTCACCCCCACTCTAGGGCCCAGTTCTCTATGTATCAATGTTTGGTTCCAAACAACCCAAGGTATGAAGTCCCATAGTGTTCTTGACCTCTGTCTGAGATGAGACTCTCATAGTTTTGCAGGCTGGGTAAGCAAAGTATAAGATACCATCATAGTTGGCCAATATAGAACAGCTTATTATGGTCTACATAGGGCAAACATAACCAAGACCAACAATACTTCTCAACCTACATGGTTCAAAGTCTGAACATAATGTAATCTACACTATAGAGATTCTAAGAATCATTTCCATCTCAGTAAGTTTCCATTAGTACTGAGGCTTCAGAGCCAGGGACAGTGGCTCATGCCTGGAGTCCCAGCTACTCAGGAGGCAAGGCAGGAGGATTCCTTGAGCCCAGGAGTTCGAGGGGGCAGTGAGCTATGATTGCACCACTGTGTTCCAGCCTGGGCGCAGAGCAAGACCCTGTCTCTAAAATAAATAAGTAAGTAAGTAAATAAATAAATAAATAAAAGGACTGAGGCTTCAGAAGCCAAGTTATGGTCAAGCATATCATTTCATGATATGTTTCATTGGTTCTGTAACTAGCAATAAAATACACGGATGTTTTATTACATTTAAATTTGTATTTAGTCCTTACATTTTAAGAAGATATCTTAAAAGTTGAGGACAGCTAAATTTTATGCCAAGTATACTCAACTGTACCTGTAATAAGTATTTTGTTTTATTTAGCATTTAAAAATAGAGTGAGGCCGGGCGCGGTGGCTCAAGCCTGTAATCCCAGCACTTTGGGAGGCCGAGACGGGCGGATCACGGGGTCAGGAGATTGAGACCACCCTGGCTAACACGGTGAAACCCCGTCTCTACTAAAAAATACAAAAAACTAGCCGGGCGAGGTAGCGGGCACCTGTAGTCCCAGCTACTCGGGAAGCTGAGGCGGGAGAATGGCGTAAACCCGGGAGGCGGAGCTTGCAGTGAGCTGAGATCCGGTCACTGCACTCCAGCCTGGGGGACAGAGCGAAACTCCGTCTCGGGAAAAAAAAAAAAAAACAAATAGAGTGAATATGTGCTTCAGCATTTTATTTATTTGGATTCAGAATATTACTATTTTTCTCCAAAAAGTCTTCCTTTTCACATTTCATTTTTAAAGAAACTACTTTTCAAAAACAGTTTCTAAATACATTCAGATATTAAACATTTTACTTATTTCATTTACTTACGACATAATAAATACAGGGGTTCGCCCTTGTTCTCGGATCGGGATGCAGTCCAAGAACCCCAGTGGATGCCTGAAACTGTGGATAGTGTAGAACCCTAGATATTCTAAGCATTTATCATTCACTGTGGCCATAACTTTTATAGTTTGAGGTGTAACAGCAAAACTAGCACAAATTTCTTTTTCCTTCTTCTCAGTTTCACAGACAGAAGATTGCTTTACTTTAGATCTTAGCAGCGTCAGCATACAATGTTTTTCTTTCCTTATCAAGTCGAGAACTTTCACCTTTTCACCTAAACGAAGCACATGATGGTTTCTCTTTGGCACATTTGCCAGCATCACTACTCTTGTGTTTTGGGGGTCATCGTTAAGTAAAATAAGGGTTACTTGAACATGAGCACTGCAGTACCACCAAGTCAGTCGAACTGATAACCAAGAGGGCTACCTAGTGACCAACGGGCAGGGAGTGTCTACAGTGTGGATCTGCTGGACAAAGGGATAATTCATGGGTGGGACAGCGTGAGATTTCACTATGCTACTTAGAAAGGCATTCAATTTAAAACTTATGAATTGTTTATTTCTGGAATTTTAAACGTAATATTATAGGACCGCAGTTGATTGAGGGTTAAGTGAAACTGCAGAAGGTGAAACCAAGGATAAATGGGGACCACCTAGATAAAAGTTAAGTCAGGAAATACATAACTTTTTAAAGGCGGACAAGCTGACAATTCTTTTTATCTTTCTTTTTTACAGGAGTTTGCTTCAGAATGGTAAGTCAATACAGTCTTTATTATTTTGCCATTTTTTTCAACTGTTATTCCCAATTACAGAGATACGGCACTTTTCTACTTGGTGCTAGTCTACTATTTACTCCCTGTCCTTGACAGCAAATGAAGAAATATGTGTATTTCTTTGAAATTACTGATTGAGATTTTTATTAACGCTAAAAACATTGTACCCTTCTTCGTATTTACTTAACATTTTCTACATTCAAAAGTACCTCTCTTTGGGTGATTTTAATGAAACGCTTTGATTAGGTGTATTGAATACAAAGTATGGGATTTTCTACATGTTCTGGATGGAAGAAATCCTATAGGCCAAGGTACATATGTCGCACTGCAAAACAAAACACGCTGATGTTGTATAATGAAGTAGTTCCCAGGATTTAGCAGATTAAGCTCCATGTTGCGTTTTAAAATTTATTTATCTTTTTATTTATTTATTTAGTTCGGAGACAGAGTCTTGCTCTGTTGCCCAGTCTGGAATACAGTGGTACGATTTCAGCTCACTGCAGCCTCCGCCTCCCAGGCTCAAGCGATTTTCCTGCCTCAGCCTCCCAAGGAGCTGGGATTACAGGCGCCTGCTACCACATCCAGCTACTTTTTTATTTTTAGTAGAGATGGCATTTCACCATGTTGGCCAGGCCGGTCTTGAACTCCTGGCCTTAAGTGATCCAGCCACCTCAGCCTCCCAGAGTGCTGGGATTATAGGCATGAGCCACCATGCCCAGCTCAGCTAATTTTTTTTTTTTTTTTAAATTTTTGTAGAGACAGGGTTTCACCATGTTGCCTAGGCTGGTCTTGAACTCTTGACCTCAAGTGATTCACCCTCGTTGGCCTCCCAAAGTGCTGGGATTACAGGCTGAGCCACCATGCCTGGCTCCATGTTGCTTTTAAAATTTTAACTTTTTTAAAGTACTCCTTTCCTACAAGTTAATTGTGGCATGCATTTTCACCTACTATCTTAGCTGAGTCACTAGATTAGGTCCCTGGTTCCCAACCCCTGAGGGTTCCAATATTTTCCCATCAGTAAAGTCTCTATTATGAGGCAGCCCCATCCCCCAAAATTCAGATTGTCTCCCTTTTCATTATTATCTAGTAAGAAAGTGACTTATTTTCAGGGCCACCTCTTACATCAGTCTTAGCTGTTAGCATTTTGATTTATGTTGTTTCATACAGCTGGGGCTGTGGAGTGTAGAGATCTTGATCACCCTGGCCTCCATACAGGAGAAGAGTATGTTTTTGAAAAGTTCTAAGGCTGGGTGCAGTGGCTCATGCCTGTAATCCTAGCACTTTGGGAGGCCGAGGCAGGTGGATCACCTGAGGTCAGGAGACCAGCCCGGCCAACATGGTGAAACCCTGTCTCTACTAAAAATATAAAAATTAGCTGGGTGTGGTGGCACATGCCTGTAATCCCAGCTACTTGGGAGGCTGAGGCAGGAGAATCGCTTGAACTTGGGAGGCAAAGGTTTCAGTGAGCCGAAACGGCACCACTGCACTCCAGCCTGGACAACAAGAGTGAAATTCCATCTCAAAAGAAAAAAATAGTTCTAGTAGACTGGATTGATAGGAATTTTAGTATGATGCAGTTAAAATAATTCAAAATCAAAATGTTGCTACTTACATAGCATAACTGAATTTGGATCTAGAAAAAGGAAATTTTAAAAGACTATTAATAATAATAGGAGAGAGAAATCTACCCATAGACAATTATAACATTTCTGTGCCAAGTCCAGAGCCAACAGAAAACATCAGAATCTTTTAGTCTTGTAATAACTCTGCAAACCAGCATGTTTATGCTAGTGTTCTTGCTAGTTTAATTTTCTTTCTTTTTTTAAAAAAAATTATTTTAGGTTCAGGGGTACATGTATAGGTTTGTTATGTAGGTAAACTTGTGTCATGGGGGTTTATTATACAGAGTATTTCATGACCCAGGTACTAAGCCTAGTACCCAATACTTATTATTTTCTGCTCCTCTCCCTCCTCCCACTCTCCATCTTCAGGTAGGCCCCAGTGTCTGTTGTTCCCCTCTTTGTGTCCATGTGTTCTCATAATTTAGCTCCCACTTATATGTAAGAACATGCAGTATTTGATTTTCTATTCCTGTGTTAGTTTGCTAAGGATAATGGCCTCCTGCTCCATTCATGTTCCTGCAAAGGACACGATCTCATTCTTTTTTATGGCTGCATGGTATTCCATGGTGTGTATGTACCACATTTTCTTTATCCAGTCTACCATTGATGGGCATTTAGGTTGATTCCATGTCTTGGCTATTGTGAATAGTGCTGCAGTGAACATATGTGTGCATGTGTCTTTATGATGAAACAATTTATATTCTTTTGGGTATATACCCAATAATGGGATTGCTGGGTCGAATGGTAGTTCTGTTTTTAGCTATTTGAGGAATTGCCACACTGCTTTCCACAGTGTTTGGACCAATTTGCACTCCCACCAACAGTTTGTAAGCATTCCCTTTCCTCTGCAACCTGGCCAGCATCTGTTATTTTTTGGCTTTTTAATAATCACCATTCTGACTGGTGTGAGATGATATCTCATTGTGGTTTTGATTTGCATTTCTCTAATAATCGGTGATACTGAGCTTTTTTTCATATGTTTCTTGGCCACACATATGTCTACTTTTGAGAAGTGTCTGTTCGTGTCCTTGCCTACTTTTTTAATGGGGTTGTTTATAATTTTTCTTATTAAAATGATTTTCCTCATTTTTTACTGGAAATTTCAAACTGTTTTAGTCTCTATTTCTGCTTATCAATACTCTATGCTGATCATAATTGTATATTTTTTTCTCAGTGATTGAGAATCTTGGATCGATTATCATTTGGAACTCAAGTTAACAATGTGATTTAGTGTTAGCAGTCTTAAGGGCAATACAGCTAAATTTTATGTATCCAAAAACACATCATAGAAACTGTTACTGAAATAATTCTCACTCTAAGCATATTTTTTCATAATGTTTTTATCAAAGTGGAATTGTTTTTACTGAAAGTGGAATTTAACAAAAGATACCATTTACGTGAAGATTCTTTTATAAATAGAGGTGTTACTGTAGGTCATCTATACAATTGTTGGCATAGACTACAAAGAATGATTATTAGGTTAGCATTTTTTGGATATTAGAATCAAGTATGTTATGAATTCAGACTTTTGATGCTGTGCTTTCTTCTTCTTGTTTTTTCCTGAAACCAGTATACAGAAGATGAAGCTAGGAAAATAGGAGTGGTTGGCTGGGTGAAGAATACCAGCAAAGGCACCGTGACAGGCCAAGTGCAGGGGCCAGAAGACAAAGTCAATTCCATGTGAGTAGTAAAATTAATAACATGTACATGAACTTTGTGAGGTTGCTCTTTTTTAGTTTTTTAAGACATGGCCTTGCTCTATCGCCCAGGCTGGAGTGCAGTGGCATGATCTCGGCTCACTACAACCTCAGTACAACCTCTGCCTTCTAGGCTCAGATCCCCCCAACTCAGCCTCCCAAGTAGCTGGGACTACAGGTGTGAGCCACCATGCCTGAACTTATGAGGCTATTTTAATGTTTCATTGGACAGTAAGAATAGTATTGATGGACCAGATTTTGTTTGTAGACTTATAATCAAACTAATATGTTTGTAGGCAGGCCTGTGAAGAAATTCTGAGTTGGGAGTAGCATTTCTGTGTTTAGGAATGGACTTCCAACTTGGACTGGCCTGGAGAAGAGTTGTGGCTTTACTCTCCAATCTGTGTGTCCTGTTGCAACTCCTCCAGTGTTATGGAGATGTCCAGGGCCCAGGTAGTTCTCATTTGAAGTGTTGTGACAGATGCATAGTGCCTCTGGATGGTTCGTGAAGTTCTTAGGGTAGCATTCCAGGCAAAAAGATTGCCATCTCCTTTTTATTGTTAAGCGCCTTATTTGTCTAATTGTAATTTTATTTTTCCTGCCAATGAGAATGTGTTTAATGAGCTGGATGGTTACCAAACTATGAATCCTGGAAGTCCAAAAGAGGCCAGATTCAGGAATATGGGGGAAAATGCCTTGTGTACACGATGTCATTTTCAAAAGCCTTGTGTTTTCAGCTTCATAATTTCCACTGCTCTCTGTAGTCTTTCTTTAAAAAAATTAAAAAATAGCTAACATTTATTGAGCATTTACATGTTAGGCAATATGCTAAGCACCTGACATGAATTACCTCACTCAATCTTTACAACAGATCTTATGACGTAGGTACTAAGTAACACTCAATTTATTTTATTGTTTGTAATTTATCTTTGTTTTCATTACTTAATATTTTTAGATTTCCAAAGCAATAGTTTTTTGCTTATTATAGTAAGTGAAGTAACATAACACCCAGATGTATAAAGGTAAAACTTGTAATGTGTACTTTTCAATTCCCTTCCTTTATTAACCTGTGACAAGGAATACTTTCCACAGCTTTCTCTTTCACTTAAAAATAGTTAAGTATGCATTTATAACTAAGGTTTTGCTGATTTTTACTGAAATGGAATACCTTATGCATATTTTTCCATAGTTTGTATTTTCATTTTCTGGACATTTCAGTAAACAGTAAATATATAATTAATCAACTCCTTATTTTTCTAATTTTTTAATGTTTAGGTACATACTTGCGTTTGTGTGTAAAACTGCACCTCAAATTGAAAAGTGGGGTCCAAAAATTCAGTTTGATAAACTGTGGGGTGACTGTTAATGAAAAACAGTATTTTTAAGTAGAATCGTCACAAAATGTACAAGAAATTTTGGGACTTCCGTTGTACAGAACTGACAGTTCAATGGAAGAGAATATGCCAAATGATTGTGACGAAGTTTTAAAGTAGAGGCTATGTCCCATGATGGGAGGGAGCCTAGAAAAAAATAATAACATAGTTTTTAAAAACTGGGGACTATGTGGAAGATAGAAGCTCATACCAATCATGTTATATTCCTAATCCACATTATAGAGGGTCATTGATTAATTTGCTTAACATAAATGAAATAGTTTCATACATTGTGCTCACGTTTTCTTTTCAACCCCTGCATTCTCCACCACCCTTCTTAAGTAACTTGTGTCAGCAAGCTAGTGTGTATTCTTCTGCTTGTCTCCATGTTCACATTCTGTCTCTCACATACACATGTCTGCACACACACACATTTATGGGTTTTGTTCAATATTTGCTTTTTTAAAAATGGGATCATGGTGTATTCCCTGCTCTGCATCTTACTTTATCACTCAAAGATACATCCAGGAAAATCCTTTCAAGTCAAACGGTAATCTCTAATTCATTCTTTTTATTGGCTGCTTAATATATTCCACAATATATAGATTTGTTATTACCTTATTGCTGGAAATTTATTTTTTTCTTACTTGTGTTTTGCAATAAGAACAATGCTGCAATAAACATTTTATTGGCGATTTTATTTTTGTTGTATAGATTCCCAGGAGTGTGATTTGCTGGTTGAAGTGTCTGTGTATTTTTAATGTAAACATATTTGTCAGACTGCTTTACAAAACAGCTGTAAACAATGTACATTGTTTTCCTCCTCATCCTGTCAGCAATTGTTATTGTGCTCTCTAATTTTTCTTTTATCTGATTGGTTGTGGTGATTATTTTTTGCTGTAATTTGCATTTCTCTAATGACTAGTTCGCTGGAGCCTCTTTATGCTTATGTCTGTCGATTTGTTCTCGTGAACTCCCTTTTCACATCCTTTACCCATTTTTCTATCGAGTTGCTTGTCTCTTGCCCATTTTTAAAAGCTCTTTGTATATTGGTCATGGTTACTAACCCATTATCTGTTATCATTTTGCAGGTATTTTCCCAAGTCTATAATTTGCCTATAGTTTCATCTGTGATAGCTTTGCAACATCAATTGTTTTTCACTTTTATTAACTCAAATATGGCTATTTTTTCTCTCTGGTTAAGAAACAGATTGTAAGTATTGTCTCCCAGGTTTTCTTCTAACTTGATGCTCTATTTATTGCGTGTAAGCATTTACTCCATCTGGAATTTGTTTTTTATTTATAAGATGAGATATTGGACCAACTATTTTCTACCAGATGAATAGCCAGTTGTCCCAGCACCTCTTACTAAATAATCACTCTTTCCCCCATTGCACTGAAATACATTTTTGTTGTATGTTAAAATCTCATATAAACTGGGTTTTATTTCTGAATTCTCTACTCTGTTCCCTGATCTATTTCTCTGTTCCTACATCAGTATACCGTATTGATTTAATTATACTATCTCTACAGTATATTTCCTCTCACTGTTCTTTTTGATTCTTTTACTTGCTTTCTTGGGCATTTGTTTTCTCTCTAAACTTTAAGATACTTTTACTTATTTAACTGGAATTCTATTCTGTTTATTAAAAAAAACTTACGTGATTGTCTCACACATATGCTTTTGAGGTAAACTTTATGTATTTATTTACTTTTTGAGACAAGGGTCTTGTTCTGTCTCCCAGGCTGGAGTGCAGTGGTCTGATTAGACTCTCTGCAGCCTTGACCTCCTGGGCTCAAGTGATCTTCCCACCTCAACCTCCTGAGTGCACATGCTGGCTAATTTATATATTTAAAAATATATATTTTTTGTACGGATAGTGTCTCACTATGTTGCTCAGGCTGCTGTGGGACTCTTGGCTTCAAATGACCTTCCTGCCTCGGCCTCCCAAAGTGCTGGGATTACAAAAATAAACTTTATTTTTCAGAACAGTTTTATATTTACAGAAAAACTGTGAAGATAGTACAGACAGTTTCCATATACTGCCCACATAGTTTTCCTACTATTAACATTTTACATTAATATGATACATATGTTAACAATTAATGGACCAATATGGATACATTAGTATTAACTAAATCCCTACTTTATTTAGATTTCAATTGTTGCCTAATGTCCATTTTATGTTTTAGGATCCCATTACTGTATTTGCTTTTTAATTGGGCATTCTTGTGAAATTAAGACAAGTGACATTTTGGCCAGGTGCAGTGGCTTATGCCTGTAATCCCAGCACTTTGGGAGGATGAGGCGGGCAGATCACTTGAGGCCAGGAGTTCAAGACCAGCCTGGCCAACATAGTGAGATCCTGTCTCTACAAACAATACAAAAATTAGCTGGGGTTGGTGGTACACGCCTATCGTCCCAGCTACTTGGGAGGCTGAGGCAGGAGAGTCGCTTGAGTCTGGGAGGCAGAGGTTGCAGTGAGCTGAGATTGTACCATCACACTCCAGTCTGGGCAACGGGAGTAGCCTGTCTCAAATAATAAAAAAAAAGAGAAGTGACATTTTTATGATATTAAATCTTCCCATTCAAGAACACACAGATGTTGTTCCATTTGCTTAGATTTTAAAATTTATCCTTCAATATGATTTTACGGTTTTCTTTATATAGATTTTTGCACTTTTCTTGCTGAGTTTATTTCTAAGTATCTTAATGACTTTTCACGATTGTATGGATTTCTTTCCCATTTATGTTTCTAGTTGTTCATGCTTAAATATGGAATATCTAATGACTTTTGTATATTAATTATATATCATGGTATTACCTTATCAAATATTCTTATTAATTCTATCAGTTTTTAAAAAGCTATAGTTTTTGGGTTTTTAAAAATATAGTTATGCAATTAGTAAAAATGGTGTATCTTTTTTTCAATGACTTTATTTGTCAGACCTGCCATGACAATGTTGAATAATAATAGCAATAGCAGACATGCCCGTTTGGTTTCTGATTTTATTTGAAATAGTTTTATTGTTTCACCTGGTAGAAAGATGTTTGCTGTTGGTTTTAGGTAAATATACTTTATCACAATACATTTCACTCTTGTATTCCTTGAATTAAGCTTTGATTGGTTACAGTGTGTTATTCTTTTGAATTATTGCTGAATTGCCAAGTACTGCTTGCCAATATTTTATTTAGAACTTTTGTATATATATAAATCATGTAAGGTTTTTTTTTGTTTTGTTTTTTTTTTTTTTTTTTTTTTTTTTTTGATGGAGTCTCGCTTTGTCGCCCAGGCTGTAGTGCAATGGCACGATCTCGGCTTACTTCAACCTCTGCCTCCTGGGTTCAAACAATTCTTCTGCCTCAGCCTCCCGAGTAGCTGGGACTACACATGCATGCCACCACTCCCAGCTAATTTTTGTATTTTTAGTAGAGACAGGGTTTCACCATATTGGCCAGGCTGGTCTCAAACTCCTGACCTCGGCCTCCCACAATGCTGGGATTACAGGCATGAGCCACCGCACCCAGCCGGGTATTTTTTGGGTATTCTGTTATGTTTTGATTTTCAAGTTTTATCGTCTTCATAAAACATATTAGGAAGTTTTCCAT